TTGCACAACATAAACTGAAAAGTAACAAGGTGTGATCCACACTTGTACTAACAAGAATAATAGTCCATTGATCAATAGGTCACCACAGACCATTGCAGATGTTTTAGCCGAGAACTGGATAGCATAATTTGGAGCACCTGAATGTAAAATATTTGGTGTGATGAAGATTCATAGTTCACACTGTCACTTTTCTTATTATTTAGGAAAATGGGTAACACAAACTACCAAGTATATGATTTGTAAATTATGTTAATACCAACACAACTAATTGAGATGAACAATTGCTATATATGACGATGGTATATAAAGTAAAGAAACAGGGGTCAACAGACTGTTCATTGAACCCACTCATGTTTGAAAAAGAAGTGTTATTCCCTGTAGATGTGATATATAGTCCTCCAACATAGGAAGAGTTCCCCAATCTTCCCAAGATTATGTAGAGTAGCTGAAGTTAATGATATTCAACACATATGAATTCATTTGACATCAACTCGGGAAAGCAGTATGTTAGCAGAAGTGCTACGGTTGGATGGCAAAAGAATGGATGTTCCAATGCAATGGTTGGGTGTAGTTGTAGTATATATCAGTGGTACAAAAGAAATTATGATCTAGCTGAATTACTCCATACCTGATACTCCAACAAACTGTTCATCTAATGTATGAGCTACAACAAGCATGGCGTGCACGAAAGCATGTGGAATTATTGATAATCTGCATCCAAACATTACAGAGGAGCCTTTGATGCACTGGTTTGATCAGGAGTCTGCAGAGGGAACCAGTGAGTTAGAAAAGGACGAGGATACTGTCTCAAGCAACCCTGACCTGGTGAATTTCTATGAACAAAGTGAAGAGTCACTTGAAATGAAAGTAACTGCCAACTCCAACTGGCCGACAAAATACCAATTTCATATGGTTAGGATTGATTATTAAAGATAGAAAGGTCAGACAACTGAGAGATTTCTGATTGAAAGGATGTAGTGGCCCTTCCTCTCCATGCGATTAAAGTTGTGTTGGAAACCATAATATATGCACTACTTTGTAGAATAAACTGCTTGACCATCAAAGCTAGGTTGATCAGGTGGTCGTAGGTTACTAATTGAAAGGGCATCGTGGCCTTTCTTCTCTAAGCCACCGGGAAGTATTGGAAGCACAGTATGCAGTTTATTGTAGGTACTGCTACATCTTCAAAGCTATAGTGGTCAAATAGCTGGAAGACTGTTGACCAAAAGGGCATCACAATCCCTTGCTTTCCAAATCATCAAACAGTATTGAAAGCACAATATATTCACTACATTGTTTGATTGCTACTCGATTACTGACAGTTAGGACAATTGCTGATCTGCACGATCATGGACTGAAAGGAAGTGGCATTTCTTGCTTTTCAAGATATCAAGTGAAGTTGAGATGTGATTTATTGTAGAATTATCGCTCAGTTATTGTAGTAACAGAACAAATTTTAATCTTGATGAATAGACTTTTTGTTTAAAAGTCTTGATTTGTCCAGAAGTATAAATAAGTTGAGTTTGCTGCTCCCTAGATGATACAAACATCGTTATCGAGAGTATATTCAGCAGGTAACACATTTTACCAAGGTGGTTCATGCCAAAGCTGGAAGCTAGCTGTAAAAACTCCTAGAATAGTTGAAGTATAATGAGATGGGCACATAGCAAAATATGTACACGTGTGTTGACCACACACTATAAACATTACATCGAGTCATTCATGAGTGTTTTTCAGACACATTTACACTCTTTAATTGAGTACTCCACGAATATGGTCACAAATAAGAATGAGTATGGAGACAAAGGATGTGATCTTGACATCAAACATTAATGAATATGAGATAATCTGGAAAAATACAGTGTACTCGTGATTTTCATTAATGGCGAGAGAATGTTCCAATTTCGTGTAAATTGAAATACTCTTAATAAGCAAGCAGTTTACTGAATATTTTATTGATGTTGTTTCACTCCATTAGTTTGAAGCTGAAGCATGAAAATGCACGCTGCGTGTGTAAATGTAAGGGTGTAAGGTATTACCTGCACGAAAACCTTGCGCCAAGTTTTTGTTTTCTTTATTAAAGGAAGGATGACGTTGCGAGCCAGTGCTCTTAGTCAGATCGTACAGTTTAAAGTGCTTTAGGAGTCTCCCGATTTTTGTATGAGAATTACAGATTTCATTGGATTTTATGTAAGGTTCCCACCCTGTTCAGACATATCACAGTGTCCATAGTTATATGCGAGTTAGATGAGTTCTGTAATAAGTGATACATATGAATTTGCGCTCAAGCAATTGGTTAAAGGAACTGTACAACAAAAAGATATGTTACATCAAAATATAAGGGGAATAGAAGATTAAACCTTGGGACTGGATATGGCTATAGTATGCACCTACATCACATAAGCAAACTGGTTCTCAGAAAGTAGCTATATCGCGTGCATTGACAGCTCAATGAAGTGAACTGTGGGCTGCAGTGGTTGTTTGACATCATATACACGCTGAATACATCAAGAAGCTGAAACTATACATCTTAATAAGGCTTTCGAAAATTGCTTACTCTAGAAATCAGCGACTTATTGGTAGATTGCCTCTAATGATGATGATTCATTGTATCGTATGACCTCGACTCAGTTGATGTTGGTATCATGTATTTGACTGTCCGTGAGAAATCAAACGAGTGATTTCCCTAAGCTAGTGATTGGCCAAGATGCCAACACTGGCCTTCTAATTGCTATGACTGAATTCAAGTGCTTGGCAAGCAGTTAGAAAGCCAGGAAAAGAAATACTTTACTTGCTTTTTGAGATAAAAGTGTGGTGGTTCACAGAAGGATGTTTAAAGGACAACATAATAACTTATTGATTACAGAGTACTTAAGACAGTTGGTTAACTGATGGATCAACAATTGAAAAAAAGGAGTTTGAAACCTTACTTTTCAAACTATTGAGTCATGAAACATCGTTTTGATGTCTTACAATAATTGCTCAATCTATCTAGTAAGTTACAGCGTTTTCGCATTTCTGTGTGCAATGCACATGATCAGATGAGGATTCAAATAAAATCCTAGAACATTCATAGTTGATTTTGGCTGTTGATGATTGTAGGGAAAGGACCGTTTGTTTGTAAGAATAAAGCTACACAATGGGCTACTTGTGCTGTGCGCACCACGGGTATCAAAATCCGATTTTTAACGTTATTAGCCCTCTGAATTACTGCTAAGCCACTGGGGAACAAGCTGAAAGAGTTATGTAATCTTGGCTTTCTGAGCATAAAAATTACGTGTTGTGGTGAATGTTTGTCTGCAGAAACTTCTTAAGACAGGATCATACTTGTAATCTAGTCGGTCCTTTTGAAGAGAGTAAAGGAGATGAGCTCTAACATACCATGAGAAATGGATATGGGTTGTATAAATCTTAGCACAAAAAGTGTCATTTGATCCGAGATATTTCCCTATGTTCATCTGATGCAATAGAACTTTTTTGTTCTGTAATGGTAAGATAAATGTTACTGTCATTCCTAATATTCTTACCACAATAGACAACACGAAATATGTTCCGGATGGAGAGTCATAGTACGAATGCCATTTCTGTTTATTTCCATCCAGGATTACCTTTATTTTCATAATATCATTCGAGTTGGTATCGTACTTGCTTGGTAGGGGACACCTGAATGATATACAGTGCCTTACAAAAGTTTTCACCTTTTGTGCTGGTAATAAATTTTAGTTATTTTCTTGTGAAAGACATACCTCAAATGGCCAAAAAGTATTTATCATATTAATCTCAGACCAGTTTTTAATTGTTACAAAAAACAAAAGGTGCATTGTTACTCACTTTAGTGATATAACAAACAAATCTTGAAAAAACGTTGCAAAAGTCTTCGCTGTTTAGGAATGATTAAAAGTAAATTTGATAGATGAATAAACTGTGTTAAGAAAACTGAAACTAAAGAGACAGCCTAGTTCGTAATTCCACACATCGATGAATCTATACCAAATCTGTTCATATCACATTATTTTATTCCGTCTAGATAACACATGCATAAAACTGCAAATCCAACGGCAGTTTTTTTGCAAGTAGTCACGCCTTCAAGTTGTTAACACTTTTTTAACTAAAAATTACGATACCCTATAACCCAAGTACTTTCAAAAAGTGGACTTGTCTTTTTGAAGGATAAACTAAGAAAGACATGTAAAGCAAAGTGGAGATAAAGTGAAGTTTTTAAGTGACGTCATGCACGCTACCATTGAAATCCTGAAGTGTTTTGAGTAGGTTTCAATGTATTGTTATAATCTATCGGAAACAAGAATGTTAGGTGCGAAGAAGGTAGAAATGTATTGTTTTAAAAAAGAAAATGGTCAAGAAAATTACACTAAGAGTTAATAAAATATAACTGAGGTATGAAGATTGATTAAAAAAAGAAATGTTAAAACAGATGTAATTAAAAAATAACTCGAACTGAGAAAGAGAACTAAAACGTTCACTTTGCGATAAACCTCAGGCAGAACTGAGCAACTAGATGGATTATTTTATAGGTCAAGAATCTCATTTTAATGGTGCCTTTTATTTTTATATAAATACAAATTTACAGTTTCAGTAAACAAAAGTTGCAATTGTCACTAATGAACTAAACAGAGGTGTCGTGAACTTTTCAAATAAGCATGTGCATAAAATATTACATCATGGTTAACAGAATTTACCACGACAACAATAAATCTAAACAAAAAACTAATCAACGGTATTTGCAGCCTCTTTAGTTGTTTATATACGTTCTTTCTTCTTGACACTTTACAGTTTTACATTTCAATCACTATCGTATTTTATCTTCACCTGAATAACTACCACAAAGAAAATTCGATCACAACTTTATTACCATTTCTGGTAAAAAACCTTTATACCGGTATACAACAGGTGACCTCGTAGCTTGATTACATAAATAAGTCAACACTTTGCTTGCATCAAATACAATTTCAAACACGCCCGGAAAAGAAATGTTTGTATTATGAGGTGGGTTAAAGGAAATCCCCCTTTTTTATTGTAAAGTTTTTGTAAAAGATGTCGCGTGTTTCTACAGAATTCAAATCCTGTGAATATAATATTATTACAGAAGTGTAACATGGAAGTTTTAAAACTTGAAATTTAAACAAAATATACCCAATTTCAAAACAAAACAATTTGCTAAATGACGTTCCTGATACTTCCAAATTTTAAATGGAAAATACTGTTATTCGTTCATGGAATTTTCAGAAGTCGCTACAGTGTGCTAATCATTCAAAAGTGAACCAGCTATCACCTTGAGTAGTGTTTGATTTTTTGAACATAAAATTGAAGTAATCAAAAGTTTATGACTTAATTTCTACAAATAAATATATCAGTTGTTATTTCTTGGTGTGCCATTTTATAGCATTGTGTGCCATCATACCAAAAATTGAAGCTTCTGTTACTTCTCTAGTTTAATTTTGGTAAAAAAATACTTTAAACAATAACCACTACCAAATTAATAATTATCCAGCTATGCGTTAATTCCACATGGACCCTAAATAATTACAATCCCAGTTCTTAAAATTTAACAGAACAAACTTATGTAAGGAATTGTGTACAAATTGTCCCTAGTCCTGGTTAATTAATGGGTAACTGATACCTCTGTTAGATTATAACAACAGGATCATTTCGTATAGAAAACAAAATACTGTTTGTGCATATTTCAGAGAAAAGTAAAAACAACATTTTTATCCACAGTAAATAGCACTACTTATATTTTAAAATACTTTCAAACTGTTCAAATACATTTTAACTGATGAGAAAAAAAAATTAGCTTTTAAGATCTGATTTACTTTTCTTTCGGTACTATCATTAAGTGAGAAAATTTCCAGTGGAGAAAAAGTTAATAGGGAGGAACTAGAATAGAGTATCTTTGTAACAGCATAAAGTTCAGTGATAAATACAAAATAGTTCACTTGAAACTTAATCCCAAAGGGTTTATAAAACAGTATATTGTGTACAATTTTTAAATGCTACATGACTTCCTAGACTTAAGTTTGTCGTTCACACATCTTACACATTACAATGTCCATGGATGTCAACAGCAATACTGCTAGGTTCACTAATCAAATACTGGAATTATACTACTTATTCAATGGTGTTTGTATATATTACCTCAAGCTTTGTTTTCATACAAGTTTCCATTTCCTAAGACTTAATTACACTGGTACATAAATAATAACAGACAATCTTCAAGAGTTTGTAACTGATTTTTATTACAATAACAGCTAGATACTACTCTTAAGTCTTAAAATGGAAGAAATGATGAAGAAAATTAATTAGTATTTTAACAGTAATATGTTTTTGCTAAGGATGAATTAATAATATGTTCCTTGCTTGTATTAACTATTAACTGATTTAATTAAAGCAAGCTGTTGACCAGAATAAAATCAGCTTTAACGTATAGCAATTAGGCCAGACTCTATCAGCTTCTGAATCTTGGCTGCAATATCAGGATTTTTCAAATGTCTGAAAGATAAAAAAAAAAAAGACAACCATGATCAAATACATCAAAAGGCAACCAACATTTTGAAGCATCAATTTATTTTGATTTCACAAATGTTGGTGTCAGTTTTCTTGTCTCTTAATGACCATCACTTAAAATGAGAATAAAACAAAACTGTTTCTTTATTTATGTTGTCTACTCCTAGTCTTGAACAACCTAAGTATTGAATACCCTTCAAGGTCAAGATGTCATATGGAAAGGTAAAGCACATGTTGTTCCAGCACTGACTACATAGCATTGTGTAGCATTCAAACCAAGGTTAGCTTTATGAGTTGAGTAAGCTTAGAGATGTCATCTTCAGTAAAAAGTTTACCATGCAATTTTAGAGATTTTTCAAATTCAGCAAAATTAAGTTTGTAACAAAAAAAATGTCAATACTAACACCAGGTTAAAGACATTAACTACCGATGTTTTACAAAAATAAATAAGTTTAAATAATACATTAACAGTACTAATTTTACAGTTAATACAGACAAAACTTTGTAGGTTATTTTTTGTTTCAAGAAATGTAAAATAATCATAATCTCAGTAGAGCAGGGTGATTAGTGGGATGCGTTAATTGACTGATTAAGTGATTATTCTCACAAGACTAACATTCCTGGTTTCAGCTTTTTCTTTCCAAATATGTTTCAAACTACCTTTTGTTTAATATGATAAGTTGTTCACAAATTTAACAATAAATTATTTTTTTAGTCCTAAGCTGTATAAGAAAATGCATCATATATGAAATGTAAGGTGTAACTGGTAACACGTTTAAAGTACAATTAATACCTTTCCACGGTGAAAAAGTAAAATCTAATTATAAAAAGCATAAGCCGTTAAGTGAGAAGTTGTTGACACAGAGAGGTTTAAAAAGAACATCTTAAAATTGTTAACATGTTTACATTTTAAAGTGCAGGCTGGAAGTAACTGTTAAAACATGTGTATGCTGAGAAATAGAGAAACAAAATACTTTAAAAGCTTAATGTACCAGGTAATGTCTAAGCAGAATGTGACGAAAGCTAGACTTTTGTTTTCCCTTTCTAGTGCTTCCTATCTGTAAGTAAAGATGCTCATATGTAAACAGGAGCCCTCTTTGTGTAAACTGGTTAATTAATGACTTAAAGGTATTACATATTGTTACTGACATGTTAACAGAAAACACTAATTTAAATTAACTGATAACTTTTGTAACACAAATTACATTAGTCAGTTATCTCATAGGGAAGTGATTATGTTGACTATTCAAAGTTAATTGCCTAGCTCCAGTTCTGGGTTTACATTTTGTACAGTGTACGAATCTTCAATAATAACTAAACTCTCCATACTCCACTTGTGTAATTATTCATATACAAGACAATTGATATCAGTATCAATCTAAACACGTTTGGTGTTTGAATATCAGGTACACATACATCACTAATACTTACGATTGGAGATAACAAACGGCATTATTAGATTGTTCCAAAATGTGTTTCAGAATTTTGTGCCAAGACACAAAATGGCTTTCTGTATCTAGCTGTCTCTAATTTTGAGCTAACAAACTAGAAGAAAGACATCTAGTCAAAAGTACTCATCACCAAATATTGTCTGATGATAAAATAGTAACATATGCAGCAATGGTCCACATACCATCAATCCTAACATTCACATTTCAGGGATACTAACCACCAGGCTTCTCTTCCAAAACTACTGTAACCTTATTGTGGCTTCTAAAGCCATGTGTATGTGTACAGTTCTGGTCTACCACAATGTTTCAGATTTCAATAACTTCACTTGTCTTCACTAATACTAAAGCAAAAGGTTGGTTGGAAGTAATAGTTTGGGAATCTCTATACTAAGTAGTTAGTACAAGTTGAGCCAGAATATAAAATTAGCTACATTATTCTTGGTTAGATCTGGTGACTTACTTGGATTCAGAAGTTACTGATAAAGAAAGGTAAATTTTCAACCTCAGTTATACAGCTCAAAGGAAGAACATAATTACCAAGTACTTGTTTAAAAATATGTGAAACGAAAGAACATTAAATATCATGTTAACAGATTATTAATTAAAGATGCATGAAAAGAAAAACACTGAATAACACCTGAAGAGATTAATACTATATTAAACAGTGCTTATTTGAAGATATTGTCAAGGAAAACACTGAATAACACCTGAAGAGATTAATACTATATTAAAGAGTGCATATTTGAAGAGTTTTCCTTTATACTAACTCAATGACAAGTTATCTGATTAACTATATTATTAAATAGTTAAAGTTATGTGAACATTGAACAAACTATATTGAGTTTTATGGATTAAAAACATTTTGATACAGCTAATAATACTGACAAAATCTTGCAAGCAATGTTTTACGAGATATATCCTTTAACTCTTTCAGCACAGGCTTGGTCCCTGGGACTGATCTCAAACATTTTGTGCTTGTTACACTTTTCATGCTATAACTTTTAAATTAGTAAGCATATGTTAAAGAAATTTGGCAGATTATGAATAAACGTTACAAAGCTTTCATACGTAAAATAATTTTTTTTTTATTATTATTAAGTCTTAAGGTTTGTAAAGCAATGTTTCTCTCATGCTTTTTTTTTTCTTTTCACATCTTGCCTATCTATCATGCAAAGTAATTTTCATTTTAAGATTAAAAATACTTTTGTGAATCAGAAAATTTTAGAATTTCACATGTGAAATCTTTATAATGTCCAGATAGTTAAATATTTCTTAATAAAAACTATATTTTATCTGTTATTTTCAATAACAAATCTCTGTACGGGTTTTGGTTGATTTGACTGATCTCATAACCACCTTAAAAAAATTAGGAAATAAATATAAATTATGCCTTTTTCTTCTAGAATGACTACTAAATTTATAACACAAAAACATA